AACACTGGTGTCTGGTGAGGGTCCAGTTTCTTTTTAGTAGATGGTACCTTCTGGTTGTGACCTAATATAATGAGTGGAAGGAACGAGGAAATTTTCTGGGAAATTCCTCCATTAAAGAGAGCTCCACTCATTATCCCAGTTTTATCAACGTATCAGGACTGATGAATAGGTTACAATATGAATTTGGGAGGTGCAAAATTTAGAACATAGCAGCAGCAACCAACTACAACATTTTGAAAGAACCAGGGCTTCTTTGAATTAAAACATTGCATATACGAGGGAGACTCTTTAAGATACAGAAAGGAAACAATATCTACAAGGCTTGGGAAATAAACTAAATTCACATGTCTCAGGAGAGTGTGACAGCCACAAGATTGACAAAGACCCTCCCCAAGTTTACATAAGCAGTAACAAATGCTGAGATGTGTTTGTGCTGCCCGAAAATAATCATGCAGAGAGCTCCGGGGATTCTTGTTCTTATGAGTCATCCCCCATGCTGGGGTGAGCTTCTCAGTGATGACTTTGCATCACCAATGATTCTGTATTTTAATCCTCACCTATAAGTAACCTCTATAAGTAACCTCAATAATCTCACTTGTTTCTTTGCTCTGTGATTGGTGCCCTCTCTAGGGTGAATAGATGCATGCTCACATCGTTCCAGGAAAAGTCAAACAATACCTGTACCTAGGGTTATAAAAGCACTAAGCAGTTGCTAGTGAGAAGGGACTCTTTAGTTAGCAGAACTGCCTACAAGTTGTATAGGGAACTCCACGGATTCAGGTTTCATGAATTGTTACTCCTTCTGGGGTGGGCTTTTCATTGATCAGCTCCCTTTGACTCACTCTAACCCAAAATACTTCAACAAATTAGATGTGGGTGGACTTGTTTCTTGGGTCTGCCAAAGGGTACCCTTTGTGAGGAGAACCGACATTTTCATGTCTTCCTACCCAGAAAATAGGCGTTGCTCAGGATGGTGAAGAAAAAGAAGGGTTGTATGTGGGCCAGGACACAGATTTCAGACTTGAAATTGGCTTCTACTTCTTTGAATGAAGTCAGAGGTGACACCCTATGGTGAACGTGAGAGGGAGAGGCTAAAGTTTTCCTTAATCTTGCTGAAGAACATGGGGAAAACTATCCAAATAATTCTACATGATTTTTATCTTAAGACTACTGTATCTCCACAAGGCTTGTAGCTATCCAACCTTCATATGATAGCCCTATTGATTTTGAATTCCAAATCCTCCTTCTACTAAATTCTTTGATTGATTTTTCTACATGCCATTGCTTCATTTTATGGTATCCTGCGGCTATCAAGCTATTACTCTGTTCCAAGTCCAAGTAAATTTTCAGTTTAACAAGACTTTATGGCCTTTGCAATTTTAGTTGATTAGATGGCATTAAAAATAAGCAAAATGTCTTTAATTTGTCTCAAAGGGCTTAACCACGGAAAACATTTCCCCAGTCTTAATGGGATACACAGAGGAACTAGTAAATTCTGAAATGTAGGCAATGTTTCCACTCGGATGGTCACAGAAAAGTTTGGTTGGCTGAATCTTATATTGAGCTATGTCTACTTTCTCATTCTCATAATTTAACTGGTATTAGATCCCTTAAAGCTGAACTGTAGTCCAGTACATTGTCAACTGAAGATAATCTGTTTCATAAAATCACACATTTAGTTATGGAGAGTTAAAAAACATGAAGGAATAGCCAGTCTATTTTATATTTAGGTAGGAAAAAAAGCAAACAAATGCCAGCAAGTAGATAGAGACTGCATAGTTTTAGCATATTTTCTTGCACCACACAATGGTAATTTATTCTTAGGCTTTTACATTTCATTACATTGGTCAGTCAATTGTTAAGATGAAAAATATTTCAAACACATGTTGAACTATGCAACACCAAGTATGCAGTACTCATATGGTTTCTTTTAATGGAATCAAGGCATGCTTGGTTTGCTGAATCTTAAAGACATGCTCCCTTTCAGCTATAAATGCTAGGCACTTGACCTAGGAGCCAAATTCTATTCAACTTCTAAGATTGGTTCTGACTTGTAGTAGAGATGATATTGGGAGATCTAGACCTGTCTTTGTAGGACTCCTGGCCCTGCTGAGAGAAGCTGCAACACTAGTCACAGAGTCTCTGTTCTCTTCCTCACCTGTTGATTGCAGAGGTCTGTGGTAGAGTAGTTCTGGGCTTGAGAACATAACTAGGCTTGACTCTCCAACCCTCCATAATTTTTGCCTTCGGTTATTTTAGTTCTCTGTATCCCAAATATTGTGTCTCTCAGGTGTTATCACAATGCTTTTGCCACAGAGGTGCCATATGCCACTATGCTAAAAACACATAGAAGGCAGTGGGTCTGTAGTTCTTGCTTGGCTTTTAACTTCTATCCTGTTTCTGTCTCTGTAGAGCCTTTTAAGGCAATATTTAATTTCTGCTTTATTTATTGTGTTGGTCATTGCAAAGTATGACAAGACAAATGGATTGAAATGTTGCATACTTCCTATTACAAAGAAATTTGCCATTTTAATAAAAATGTCAATCTACAACTCATTATAAAATTGTAGGAAAATTCATTATGCATTGTAAAACATGAACCTGAGGAGACTATGCTGGTAATTCTTAGTACAGAATTTATTAAAATAATTTGCAAATTCATTGTACCTTAAACAATAAAAACCAAGGATCTTAGAATTTTTGTTTGTTTGTTTTTCAGAGACCAGGTTTCTCTGTGGCTTTGGAGACTGTCTTGGAATTAACTCTTGTAGACCAGGCTGGTCTCAAACTCACAGAGATCCCCCTGCCTCTGCCTCCTGATTTTTGGGATTAAAGGTGTGCGCCATCACTGCCCACCCTGGATCTTAGAATTTTTAAGACTGTTTCAGATTGCAAAGTTTTCCAAAGGAAGTCAAAGTTTAAGAAAATCAAAATTCAATGGACAAATTGCCCAAAGTGAATGATTAACCCACAGCTATTATCAGCTCATCAGTTATTTGTCTATTCTTACTCCATTTTCAAAGGCCATGATTTTGTTGCTGAACAAATGTTCTATTTTATTTATAAACTATTATCATTCATTAATTAATGATCATGGTTATGGTTCCAATTTGGTCATTTTGCCATTTAAAGCAAGTCACTATTAACACCATTAATACCTTTAAAATTTACCATGATCTTTAAAAAATCCTATGTAGCTTTATTTCATGGGCTGTTGTGTATACTTACATATCATCCTGTAAAGGCTACACAGTTGTTTCTTATTTCTGGTTATATTCAGTGTCAGAAAAGTTAAGCACAGTCTTGATGAGGTAGAGTCAAATATTCTATATTATGATATCACATATAAAATAGTAAAATTAACTAAGTGTTACAGAGTAATAAGTTTTAAAACCATTCAGCCTTTGCTTCAGAATTCAGCAATTTTTATGCATGTTGATTATTGAGGGACCTTTGCCCCCATATATCTATTTTAAAACAGTATTTGTTAACTTTTCATTAAGAATATAAAAATTATCAAGCCGCCTAGGGCTACATAGTGAAACTGTCTCAAAAGCATTAAAATTATAGCAATATGCCATATGCTAACAGGGAGCACTGTGTAAAATACATCATAAATGTTAATGAATACTATTGGCTAATGTTTGTGCATGGTCCTGACTGCTTCAGCAGGCTGTATGCAGCTGGGTGAAACCCTAATGTAGACAGCATTAGTAACTGACTATTGCTTGCTATTGAGTATGATGTGATATGCTGAGCATAGAGCTCATTATCAAGTTTTATTAAATTAAGTGACAAATATTTCAGCGTAACAAACATCTTTGTTTTGTAAGTGGGTTGTTTTTCCCCTTATGTTTAGAAAGTATAATGGTCTTTCCTTTGGAGGGAAGTCTTTATAGGTCTCCACTAGCGCATTGTTTTACTGGCACTGAAGTGATTTCTAACTGTTTTGTATAAGTTACTTTGAGTCAAGATCATGTATATAAAATTTACCATGCTCTTTATGACCTTAATATCAAAATACTAATTGAATATCATTTCTTTATTTTCTTACTCATTCTATTGGTGGTAGGATGAAGGCTATATTTAAATTTAGTGCCCTTTCAATAGGAACAATTTTATTTCTGTACAATGAGACCAGAAAGCTTATATAACTGCTTAAAAGTATAGTAGAGAAACACAATTATTCTTCAATAATACTGGAAGGTCAGCTGGAAGGTTTTCATTTCCCTTTCCTTCTTGACATTTAGATCTAGAAAGCATTTTAGACACTCAAAATGCACACCTGATGATTTTTCACATTTCAGTAAGTGATAGAGTTAACTTGCGTATCTTTTTGTGAGCCTCAAAACAAATACATGGTCTATCTCTTGTAATTCACAGGGAACAGGCTCAAAGGCCTCTAGGCTGATGGATGCTAAACAATGACCCCAAGATAGCTTGCCAGGTTAGATCTTAATGATCAAAATACTCACATTGTTAGTAAAATAGTCAATGAAAAGCAGCCTTATAGTACAGACTGAAATCAGCCCAGAGACATGAAAAACATTGACTGTTTGACCTGAAGCATAAATCCATTGAGGTGTTATTTATTGTTATATATTTTTTTACCAGTAAAAACAAACCATTCACATGAGACTGTACCATGGTGTATTTATAAAAGACCATGTACAGTCAGTCTTTCAGGTTAACAGATAAGGAAAAGTTTTCTTTTTTCACCTAATGAAGCTTGGCTATTAGAAGGTTGTAAGAGAAGATGAAGAAAGCATAAATTTATAAATTTATGAATTAAAATAAGTGGACTTTCCTTAATTGTCCAAAGGATAATGCCACTGAAATAACCCTTGAACCACCAAATAGGAGGTAAAATACCACAGACTGTGAACCCCTTGAAAAAGTGGCAGCTAAAAATATCCCAGTGCCAATTAACTCAAAGGAAGGTTGATTTTAATTGGGTCAAGCAACATCCGTCTTTCTCATCCCCTGTGCAAGTAACTCACAACTTTCAATCTCCAGGGTGCAGTTTTGTTCATCCAGAGGGTACCTTCGAAGATCCATCATGCATGCTGCGGTGGTTGTGATCCTATTGTGTGAGAGAGAAGAAAGACATGATTACTTAAGTGGGGGGAGGCTTTTATGGACACACAGAGACAAAGCAACAAACACGTGTAAATTCAATGTTTTAGTGGTGAAATCTTATTTCTCAGCCTCCTGGCCTCAAATCATGTTTACTAGATGGCAGAGTCTTTAGAAGCTCCTAAGAAACCACTGTAAATAATTATGTAGCAGTAGAGTAAATAAGACATTGTTTGTTCTAGCTGCCTTTGTTGATGGTCAGCTGATTGTAGATATGTCTTTATATCTGGGTTTTCTGGTCTACTAATTTATGTGTTTTTTTAAAATGACACCCTTCAGCTTTTTTGTTCATTTTAAAATTGTATTATAACTTGATTTTAGAAAAACCTGGTCCTTTGGTTTTGAACTCAACATCTATTGATTGCGAGTCTCTGAGTTTTCCATACCTATCCTTTGTTACAGTGAGGTAAATTCCCTTTATGTCTAGGTTTTGACAATCTTTATTATGAAGATGTATTGACCTTTTCCTGCATGTTTGGCGATGATCGTGAGGATTTTGTCCTTCATCCTGCCAGGGGCTTATCCTACAGCTTGATTTATGCATTTTCAACAATTCTTTTGTTCCAGAAATAGATCCCACTTGTTCCTGGTGAAGGATTCTTTTAGTGTGCTGTTGAATTTAGTTTGTTAGTAATCTATTATGTCTAGTATTAATATAATTAATTTATCATATACAATATCTACAAGTCAAAGACATCACAGTCAAGCTGTCAAGAACTTTGTACTTTGGGCCGACTCTTACTTTTATGTTCACTAATGGTATGAGCTTTGGTTGGCTAAATTATCTCCATTAAGCTTAGTGCTCTCATAAACCAGCACACCTACTACATAGGAGTATTGTGCGGATAAAAAGATTTAATGTGTGCATAATTATTTTCTCAGTGTTCTGTACTTAACAAATATTCCTCATAGGAAAGTTACTCTTATATCTGTTATTTCTCATACCACTTCCCTTAATTGCTAGAATCTTTAATAGTGTCTACATCAGTATTTGGAGAATTTATGAGTAAGAAGTCTTACTATGCATCAAATACCACCCATTTCTCCCCATTTCACCCAATACAGCAGCAGCAATGAAATCAGACTTCTATGCCTTGTGGTGCCTTACGGCCCCTACTAGGAACGCCAGATTCATGTACTAAACTCTGACCCATTTACACTCAACAGGTTCTGTGTGCTGAGTGAGGAAGTCCTTCCCTGGAATCCAAGCGCTCACTACTTTTACCAGCTCTATTGACCTTAGGAGTTAGTGGTAAGTTCTAGAAGCCTGACTCTAGATGTCCTACCTGGACTGCCATCATCCCTGGATTTTTTCTTGGACTGTTTTCCTGGAATGTAGAGTCTGAGTGCAACTCAAATTCAAATGCCTACTTTAATCTTAATAATCTTTTGATATCATTTTGGAATTGAAAAATACTTCCTTAAAAACATAGTTGTCTATGAAGTGTAAGGATAATTTTAAAAACTCAAAAGCCACAGATTTAAATGTAAGTTTTTTTCTTTCATAAGCCTTAGGAGGTATATTCTTAGTGATTTTGTCAACTCGACACGAACAAGCTAGGGTCATGTGGGAAAAGGGAGTCTCAATTGAGAAAATTACTTATGGGCAAGTCTGCTGAACATTTTCTTGGTTAACAATTGATATGGGAGGGGCCTGTGCTGGGCAGGTGGACCTGAGTTGTATAAAAAAGCAAGCTGAGAGCAAGCCATGGGCAGCAGGTTAGTAAGCTGATTTCATCCCATCTTCTCTGCTTTACTTCTTGACTCCAGATTTCTGCCTGGGATTCTCTCGAATGATGAACTGGGGTTGGGATGTGTAAGTCAAATAAACCCTCTCCTCTCTTGGCTGCTTTATAACTCATGGTGATAATCTTTATCATAGTAATAGAAAGTAAACCATGGTAAATTATTGTATAGGAAAAATCTATGCAAACAGAACAACTAAGTGTTTTAGGGAAGGAAGGTCTCTTCCATAATAGTCCAAAAAGTTTCTGTATCAGTAAATAATATGCCATGCCACTCTTACAAAAAATAAAACAAAAACAAAAAAACTTTACTATGATGTATTCATTTGTAGGGGAATGACATAATTTATTTTCTTACTCTTATGTTGGTGGGCATGTTATCTCCTATTGTAATAATTATATTACATTATTCAGTATACACACATGTATAGTATATACAGTACAATCAGATACTAGATCTGTATACCTATCTTAGTTTAAAATCAATTATTATAATATAAAACATTGGTATGTATAACATCATTATTTGTTTGTATTTACATATATACATATACAATATACTGAGAAGTTAATTATTTGTGATTCATGTACATTATAGAGCATGGTTCCACAAAGCTGAATTACCAGGTTCATCACTTGGCTTAGCCCGTTGGTGTAGCTGAGACAGTGAGAAACACAAAATATATGAAACTGCAAGCAATGTAACATTGGATTTTGTTTCATAGTAAACTTGAATTCATGAGTTAAAGGAGAACCTTCTAAAATAATAACGGGTAGAATTATAAAGGCATAGAAGAGAGCACAGGCATTTAATGACTGACCATCAGCAGAGAAGGTTTGTTTATACCTGTGTTTCCACAAGCAAGTTCAAAGTTGTGACAGCGGACTATGATGTAAATACACTTACCACCAGGAAATACAAGGTTTCCATTTCATCATACTATTGGGAGGACCACCATAATATGTAGAGGTCATTATTGATCAAAACTTCATTGTGACATACAATTTTTATAAAATGCATATACAAATGAAATGTTTCCTCTGAGAAACCTTAAACAAAATGAAATATTGTAGACAACCTCAACATATAAAGTACAAATGAAAACTCTATTGTATTTATGTAAATTCACTTCCTCAGTACAAATGTTGTATCTATTTTAATGGATATATACTTCAGAGTGCATATTAAGTATGGCAAAAGGAGTTATTGTAAGACTATGGGTGCTTTCTCAGAGACATTGTTAGTTAAACCCCAGAACTTTGGTAATTCTCCTTAGGAAGGTGAACGTTCATCTGGACATGCCTTTGAAGCCTTCTTAACCAAGCGTGAGCCAATTCAATTTAGATTTACTTGAACATTATGAAACAGCACAATGGGGTTTTAAAGTTTAGTTACTTTTTTCAAAGTGTTCTACAAAATTCTTATAGTAGTTTCATTCCAGAATTTACCACATAAGGGATTTGATTATATTCTAGCATTCTCCCTGCTTCCATGAACATATAGGATATTCGATTTAGATTTACCATTATCTGTATAGCATGAGTATCTCCCATTGTCAGGAAATACAGTTTTATAACACATCTATTGTATGATGACTGGAAACAATAGTCTCGATATATTAAGGAAGGTAAGGCAATACATACTAAGACACTTGCAAAAATTACCCTATCTGATGTATTCTTTGACAGCTGCTTATAAATAAAAAATTGTAATGATGTGAGCATGTGTTCAGCAAGGAAAGCAACCCATGAACCTGTTAAACTGTAGCTGCTGAAGCTGCCTGACATAAAACCACCTCCATCTTGGGGTGTCTGTCTTCTAAATCTCAAACTCCCAGAAACAAAGGTTTCACTATCTCAATTTTCCCTAGGCAGAAAACCTCAAAGCCACAAAAATACTAATGTCCACAGATACTCATCAGGGTCCTTCAGAAGAGAAAGAATATTGGGACTCAAACAGGGATCTGACATAAGCAGATGCTCACATACCTAGACTTTAGTCTAGACAAACGTATGTAGCACAGAGTAGGAATTGATGCTAAGAGTTTGGCATTTCTAGATGTCACAATACTTACAGTGAAGTGAGCTGAGTGCATGAGCATTTGTCATGGGAAAAATTTCTCAGCAAAAACCCCAAGATAATCAATAAAAAGAGAGATGTCCCTGGGCAGAACTATTTGGCTCTTCTGTCTTTGGGTGAGAAGCATCAGTGAACATCGCTAAGAATAATTGTCCCCTGTGTTTCCATTTGTCTTCCTTGTCTAATATGATGGCCTGCAGCAGTGAACCACCACTACAATTAATTCACACCCTTGTGGGAATGTACTCTCTCTGGATGAAGCAAGATGATCATATGAACATTTCATGGAATTAAAGGTATCAAAGATCACAAAACTGGATTTATTAAAGGCTTCAAAAGTTTAATTGTTTCTTTTAAAATGCTGTTTCTAATATTTGAAACTGTAGGTATTTATCCTCTGTGTGAAGAAATATTGCTGCTAGCAGATAGTGAGTCAAAGAACAAGAGGGAAGAACCAGTTACAGGCAAAGCATTAACTAATCGTTCTTCTAAAGACAAATTTCCCAGAGGTGGCTTCATGATAGCAGAGTATTCATCTGTTCTTTCAAAGACATTTAGAACAGCTTACATTATAATCTAATTTATTGACATTTTGAAGGTTAGGTCAGAAACTGCAGTGGGCTGTTATAACTGTGGTCCCAGAGCAGGGATTCTGCTGCTGTAGTTTCTATTCATTAAGGCTTAAGTTGCACGGCCATCAACCTTAGGCACCACTGGAACTGCAAATTATCTCTAAATGTCTGTGGCTAGCATAGTTCTTGTCGCTGGCAAAACTCCAGCCAGGGACTATCGGCCCATAAGTAGCTTCAAATCCAGGAATACATGACTGTGAGATTGGTTTATAAGGAGCAATGATAAGATAGCCATCTGTCCCATCTGGTGAAGTGTCTGCAGAATGGCCTATGGATTGTTTGGACTTGCAGATACATCTTTCACCCAAAGAAACTGATGTGAGAAGACAGTAGGCTTAGTTGCCTATGTCATGACTAATCAGCACACAGATATTATTTTTTCAGAATGTACTCTTCCATATTGTCTACTCTAACTTGTCTAGGTGCTAGGGAGGCTAGTCTGTGTAGCAAACATATTGAAGATGAAATCCTATTGGCCTGAGACATGACT